GGGCATGCAGTGGTAGTTGTGTGCCTTTCAGTGCAATGTCAACAAAAACTATGTTAGACAAATTATTATTAAAATGATTATGTATGCATGAACGCAGATGGCAACAACAGTTAATCTAAATAGCTACTTACCTAATATAAAACTTGAATTTACATTAGACGTGATAACAGTGAAACCATGTTTAGATTAAACCATGATGATTATCTTCAGACTATACAATCGTACAACTAATATCTATAATTGTTGCATCCCTAATTCCTAATTACTTCAATGCACTGTTTTTGTTGTGCTATGAAATACAACATTTGAATGTTTGTACCAAAGTCTATTGTACAATGCAGTAATATTATGTAGTTTCAAAATACAATATATTAACATTTTAATGTAGAAAAAGCCAACATGGGTGTCTTAAGGAGCAAAAATATACAGCATATGGGCTCTTATATGCTGTTGTGTCATCACTCATATAGCAAGTTATATCTCTCCAGCCCTTCGTTTGGGATGCTTTACATGAACCGGCCCCCATGACAAACTAATTGAATAGCCCTGGTATAGGGCTAAGGGGAAGGGGTATATACCCCCTCGAAAGAAGATTTTTAAAGACCACACTCGAAACCTAGTGGTAAGAAAATTTCCAAGAATACAACAGCTACAACAGCAGCATGACTGAAACACGGAGAGATCCACGAATTAGTATCTTTTTGTCATTATTATGAATTTTTACAACAAACAAGCAAATGTTTTAATACATTCATAACTGGTTTGTGTTTTATCGTCATGTTTAAAAAAAAAAAAAAAAAAAAAAAAGCTAAAATAAAAACCACTAAATTTCGCTAACAATAATCCATAATAAAAACTCCTGTATATACTCAAAAACCCTGTCAGAAAAATCTAGTAGGTGAAAATGAGCTTTTTACAGTGTCTGTTATAATGTTAATGTCGTTTTTTGTTTACATAGATAAATATGGCAGTGTAAATACGCAGTACAGTTACGATCTTATTGCCATTTAGATAAATATCTAAAATAACACAACTGGAATAACTACAGCAGTCGCGATAGTCTGATCTCATATAAAGCAAGAATAAAGCAAGTGATCGCGATGACATAATGATTTGTGCAGGTGCTTTAGTGGTGTCCCAATTCTTAGGGGTCAATTTGAAGCCCTTCCCCTTCACACTCGGTTTTAAGGGCCATGGGGAGGGGTACAAAAATAGAATTGAGATTGGGCCTAAATGTGTTACTTACTTTCACATGCTTTCTGACCAGCATCAACACAGAGTCATAGTTTACCAAGACACAACACTAACAGCTGTGGAAACAAAAAATGACTTTTCAATTTTCAGGTCTGCAATTTCTTGCATATATTGTCTCAGTGTAGTTAACACCGCTTCATCTGAAAGCAGCTGCTGGAGATTTACTGCTGATTACAGAGCTGGTTTGACTGCCAAAATGCGCATGAAATTAGCCGCCAATTAATGGCCCAGCCTTACAAACTTGTTTGAGTTTCTTGCTTTTGTTGAAAACAAAAGATCCACCATCCACAGTATTATTTTTACACATAGGAGGTCAATGGTTACCAGTAACCAACATTCTTCAAAACATCCTCTTTTATGTTCAATTTTATATGTTGTGTGACAGGCACTACTACTAAGGACTTAAAAGTTATAATGCCACTAATTAAAAATTTTAAACATAACAATATGTAGAGCAGTGAGATTCTCAAAATCAAGAAACAGCAGATCACTGTTAATGATCCCATTGATACCAGAGATCTGTGAGAAATAGTCTCAAATTTTAATGGCTCCAGTGATTATGTGCAGTCAAGTCCTAACATGACCAAGCAATGTCCACTTGCACCTGTGCAAAGCACACAACTCCAACACACTCCAAACTTCCTGATGGCCTCAGTTTCGAATCCAGTGTTTGCATAACTCTGTGACATTATGATGAATTATTGTTCCAGAGCACTCAAGGCCATGAAGTCAACCTGCCTGCCAGCCACATGTTTACTCTAACCTACAGCTGGGAAAACAAATGACCATTATGCCCTGTGCAACATCTAAACTAAAAAAATCCATAACCACAGTGAAGAGTAAACTTTAAGTAAAACTGTAACAGGACATGTTCTGACACATCTTTCACTTCAGTTTGTATCTCTAGAAGGTTGCGTTTGAGATCAAAAACTCTGCCCTGGAGTGTTATACCAGGAGCTGCTTTTACCAAATACACATAAATCAGATTATGACATGAGTAAGAAACAAAAAAAGACTACAAAATAAAAGAGTTTTGACCAACAGCTAGTAAAAATGCACTTCTGAAAGTGCAAGGCACTTCTGGCTACTAACATTACACATGAGCCACAGACCAAACAGAAAACAACCTTAAAATCCAAAAGTGCAAATGTGGAAATGAAGCCAACCCAAAAGAGGATTTGCACTAGACTCATTTGTAGAAACATTTGCACTTTATTCAAACCAGCAGTGTCATTTGATAGAGCGTGACGGTACAAAACAGGCACCAACCTAACGTTTTGCACAAACATTTGTTTACCTGACCTGCCTAGCAAGGAAGGTGCTACTTATTGAAGCTGCAGGCAACCCTGAAGTACTCGCTGTTGGTTTTTGTTACCCTTATTTGTTGACCAGTGGACTTGATTTTGAAGCTGGTTATTGTTGTTATTATAGAGGTAGTGTGGCAAAAGATATTTTAAAAATAGTGACAGATTTTCTCACCCTCAAGCAATTTGAGATCTAGGTGACTTTAGTCATCACAAAAATACTCCGACTACACATCAGTTCTTGCTTTTCCTGGGAGTCAAAGCTAAGTCCTTGTCTTTGCTAGCACTAGGCATGGGCCGGTATAAGATTCTGACGGTATGACAACCTTGAATAAAAATATCAGTTTCACGATATTGTGATTAATGCTCTAAAATATATATATTTTTTAAATGTCTGGGTAAAAAAAACAACAGTTTTCCTCCTTTGAACACAATACATTTTATTTTGAGAAACATTTAAAGTATTTGCAACAGTAAACATGTCAGGCTAAATAATTCAAACAAATCATTGACTTCTGCTGTCTTCAATTGTTTCATAAACACAGATTTCTTTACAATTTAAAATAGCATTTTTAGATATCTTTTCTCCTGGAGATACTGTGGTTCTAAAAAACAAAAAACAAAAACATAAAAATAAATCTTACACATACCTTGGGAACGCTATAGCAGAAATTGTTGATGGTTTTAAAACCTTGACTTTTCCCAACCGCAGTATACTTTGAAAACAGTTATCGCCCCATGTTTAATTACCTCCATGTCCTAATGTTTGACTTACTGCTTTACGCAATGAAAAATGTCAATAAAAGTCTTGTGTTACACTTTAGTTAAGTTTTCAACATCAAACATTGTTGGGCAAAGATCAAGCTTCCATAATGCTAAGTGAACATGAAAATAAACAGTAAGCACTCATGAATCACAACATATTCGTAATGGATATATAATTTACATTTAAATATATATCTATTTATGCAAAATGTGCATTATATATTTTTGAGTTATGTGATGACTACGCATGGGACAATGAACAGTTTCAAGGTTTACCATGGTTTGGAAAAGTCAAGGTTTTAAACCCGCTAATATTTTCTGTTATACCATTCCTACGGTATATGCATAATTTTTTTAATGATTTTTTATGTGTTAGAAACAAATCTGTGTTTTTAAAGCAAATGAAGACAGCAGAAGTCAATTATTTATTTTTTTATTTAGCCTGACATGTTTACTGATTCAAATTAGTGTAAATGTTTCCTAAAATAAAATATATAGTGTTCAAAGGGATAAAAAAGTACTTTTTTTACTCAGACATTTAAAAATAACTTATTTTAGAGTAGGAATGGGCCAGTATAAAGTTCTTATGGTATCATAACCTTGGATAAAAAATATCACGGTTTCACTGTATTGTGATTGCTGCTCTAAAATAGATTCTTTTTAAATGTCTGGGTAAAAAACAATAACTTTTTCCCTTTTAAACACAAAATGTTTTATTTTTTAGATACATTTAAAGTGTTTTGGAGCAGTATGTCAGGCTAAATAATTCAAATGAATCACTGGCTTCTGCTGTCTTCATTAGTTTCAAAAACACAAATTTCTTTACGATTTAAAACGACATCTTTGGATATATTTTCTGCTGGAGATACTGTTGTCCAAAAAAAAATGTAAATAAAAAAATCTTACATATACATTGGAAACAGTTAAGCAGAAAATGTTGGCGGTTTTAAAACATTGACTTTCCCAAACCAAGGTATACCTTGAAAACTGTTATCCCATGCCTATTTTAGAGCAGTAATCACAATACCTTGATATTTTTATCCAAGGTTATCATACCGTCCGAAACTTGTACATGCCTAGTGATGACCCCTTCACCAATAGTAGTAACGCAGGTCATGTGATACAAACATAACTGCGCCCATAAGCAGGCGACCCGCGCAGTGATAAATAAATGCCTTTTCTAGGGAAACGACATGGAGTTGACTCTTCATCTTGTGTATATAAACATTATTGAGATATCCCTAAAGAGCAGTTTATTGCTTCAAACATCCAATTGTATTGGTCAGCAAAAAAATGACAGAGTACACCTTTAAGGGGGGGCTTCACTGAAGCTGAACCGCTGCAACTAGAAAAAAAACAGTTTTTAAATACCATCAAACTGAGTCAGAGGCATATACATCTAAAAGGTAAACAATACAGCAGTAGACTCAGGGCAGAGAGGCTTTAATCTTGACGCAAAACGCCTGGAATTTACTGGTTTGGACAAGCCGAGCCAGTTTGCGACACTGGCGCCTAGTCAAATATTCATCCGATCACAAGTTTTTTTTTTCTTTATTCAACTTGGATACAGTTTCTTATTTCACGATGACGCTAAAGCAAATCGCCCCTGCTGATTTCTTGGCAGCTGAAACGCTGAGTGACATTTTAGGTGACCCATAGGAAGCAAGTTAAACTCACCCATACTGTCCTTCGATACGAGACCGTCTTGATCTGATGTGTACAATCTGCCGTCCTGGTAGCTGATGTTAGCTAGCAGCCTGGATGCTAGCCGTAAATCCTACTTGTGCGTGGAATCGTGTTGGTGAAGTGCTTGTTAGCGAGTTTATTGGCGCTATTAATCCATTCGACTTGCTTTTAAACGTCGGCCTGTTGTTTAAATATGAGGTATGTTTCTTAAGAGTACTGTGCAGGAAGTTATCCCGAAGTCTCCACCTTTCTTAGATTTGCCTCCGCGATATTTCATCTGGAGGATCCCGCGAGAAGTCAGATTTCCTGGCTGGAATGCAAGAGGTTGAAGTGTTACATTTTAGTGTAAACTGAGTTCAGGAATAACTTTTAATAAAAACGCGACATTTTGCAGTGATTTACGTATGTATAATACTATTATGTCTATGGATTGTTGTAGAGATTACGTATTTGCTCTATAAAAATACTTTGCCTGTTATTAATAATCATAATTTAGTTTAATGATATGCAAATAACAACATTAAAGATTTGCAGCGCAGAAAAAACTTTTATTATTGTGTATGAAACAACTGAATTGAACATGTATCGGTGGTGAAATTGGTATTTTATTTGTTATATCTTCAATGTGGTGTGTTGTTATTTTGGTAATTGAGTCATTCTGCGGTCATTTTCTTAGGATATTTTTGTCAACAAAGTACTGTATGTAGGCGGTGACGCAGCTGTGAAATCTCGTCTTCGCTCAGCTCTGCGTCTCTCTGTGGCTGAAACATTTGCATTCAATTTGGCTATTAAGCTGTTAACTGTAAACTGAAATGGCCCAAATCAAAACCAATTTCCATAAGCATACACTTCCCTGTGCTTTTATGGCTGGTTTAAAAAGAAATGTATTCGTTGTATTTGTGAATACAGAACAACCACAAAGAATGACAATTACTGTGAAAAAACCCGTGTGCATCACATAAAGAATCAATTAAATTAGGAGAAAGCGCAGTAATATGATGGCTGTTCGCACAGTGTACAGGTGGTAACAACTTGCAAATACAAAAATCAGAATAAAAATGAGCTTTTTTTTAATTTATGTTTTATTTTGATGACAATGCATCAATTGTTTTATTTTTTTGTTTTAATTTAATTGACAGAAGAAATAATCATATATAGAAGCAACAACAGTAAAAAGATCACACGATAAAGATATCAAAATAAAAATACATTATAATGTACATGTATAAATAGATTTGGCAAACTCATATATGCAAAATGTTCAGATTGTTGTGTATTGAACATTTTTGAGAAAATAAAATGTTAAGAGAATAATTTAATTTACTTTATTTGCTGATATTTCCATAACTTGTCAATAATCTTTTTAAAATTGTATAATTTTATATGAAATTTAAATTTGGTATGAATTGTGTTATTCTGTATTATTACTATTGCTTCACATCATAATTAATGGCAACTATATATATGCAGTTGAAGTCAGTACAATTAGCTGCCCTGAACTATTAGTACTCCCCTGTTTATTTATTTTTTTTACCAATTTCTGTTTAACGGAGAGCAGATTTTTTTCAACACATTTCTAAACATAATAGTTTTAATAACTAATTTCTAATAACTGATTTATTTTATCTTTGCCATGATGACAGTACATAATATTTTACTAGATATATTTTAAGACACTTCTATACAGCTTAAAGTGACATTTAAAGGCTTAACTAGGTTAATTGGGTTAACTAGGTAGGTTAGGGTGAATAGCCAATTGTTGTATAATGATGGTTTGTTCTGTAGACTATTAATAAATAATATAGCTTAAAGGGGTTAATAATTTTGACCTTAAAATGGTGAAATATAACAAATAAGACTTTCTCCAGTACAAAAAAAATATTATCAGACATATTGTGCATATTTCCCTACTCTGTTAAACATCATTTGGGAAATTAAAAAAAAAAAAAAAAAAGAATTCAAAGGGTGGCTAATAATTCTGACTTCAACTGTATATATGTATAATATATATATATATATATATATATATATATATATATATATATATATATATATATATATATATATATATATATATATATACAGACACACACACACACACTAGGGCTGTGTCATTTGGGGAAAATATCTAATTGAAATTTTTTAAGAGATTGTAAATCTGTAAATAGATTGCGGTCAAGATTCAGCTCAATAATCTGTATGGCAGCTTCTTACTGCTAAAATGCCGTGAGTGTTCAGAAATACGACACAAATTTTTCTCTAGAGCAAACTGTAAACAAATAAAATGATATTTTCTTTCTGTAAACATGTTGAACTCAAATTAGGGAGATTTATATTATATAATATATTATTATACGAACAAAATAATAATAATAATTATAAAATACAGAACACTCAGCAAAATAACATGGCTGAAACTATTCTAATATTGAACTTTGCTGTTCCTTGCTACTAGATTGAATGTCACTGGCAATACTTTCAGTGGAATTTTTAGCAAGACACTCCTCATATAGCCGCCTGTGCTGGTTGTTGTATTTCCTCATGCTGTGGCAATTATTGCAAATGATCTGTTTTTGTTTGGTGTCTATGACTTTGAAACCAAAATATTCCCATTTAACCAATGTTTTTTCTTTGATATTAATTTGTCTATTAATGCTTCTGAAGCCGGAAACGCCATCATCCCACTCGTACACGCTTTCCTGTTTGTTAGTTTTTTATTGTGGGAGTTCCGCATAAGTTGCGCAATTCTGATTAGGCAGAACAAAAGTGTGCTCACTCAATTGGCTAGTAATACTAACAAACAGAATCACACATAGACATCAGTCAAGCATTTGCTCTGGGTGGGGGAAATTAAATAATGCATTCATATTTCATATCGCAGCCTATTGCGCTTAGCTATTTATGTATTTTTAAATTAAAAAAATATTGCGCCAGTCTTTATTGCTTTTATTACGCTTACCATTGATGATAATAATAATAATAATAATAATATTTTTAATAATAATAACAATAATAATAATTAATATTAGAGTGATTTCTGGAGGATTATGTGACTCTGAAGACTAAAGTGATAAAGCTGAAAATTCATCATAAAAATCACTGGAATAAATTATTGAATTACCTTTGAACAGTTTTTATTTTATAGTGCAATATTTTTAATTTATATTTTACCATTTTTTTCTGTATTTATGATGAAATAAATGCAGCCTTGGTGAAAAGGATAGGCTTATTATATATATATATATATATATATATATATATATATATATATATATATATATATATATATATATATATATATATATAATTTTTTTTTTTTCCCCAGAGATGGGTTGCGGCTGGAAGGGCATCCGCTGCGTAAAAACTTGCTGGATAAGTTGGCGGTTCATTCCGCTGTGGCAACCCGGATTAATAAAGGGACTAAGCCGACAAGAAAATTAAATGAAATTAATATATATATATATATATATATATATATATATATATATATATATATATATATATATATATATATATATATATATATATATATATATATACTGTATATATATATATATACAGTTGAAGTTTGAATTATTAGCCCCCTTTTGACTTTTTTTCTCTTTTGAATATTTCCCAAATGTTTAAATGTTTCCCAAAAACCTGCCTTGTTAACCTAATTAACCTAGTTAAGCCTTTAAATGTCACTTTAAGCTGTATAGAAGTTACTTGAAAAATATCAAGTAAAGTAATATTTACTGTCATCATGGCAAAGATAAAATAAATCAGTTATCAGAAATAAGTTTTTAAAACTATTATGCTTGGAACAGTTTGACGGCATAATGGTTTGTATAAAAAAGAAAATCGAAAACAGAGTCTCAAAAACTATTTTGTACGTGAAACTACATTCTTCCTCCAGCTGCAGCTGACATCAGAACATCAGAAACCGTTGCCAGTTCACAAACCCCATTTTAGAGCTAGTATTTGAATGATTCTTTAGCGTACTATCTTAAGTGATGACAAAACAGGTGATTTTTGCTAACATTTTATAATTATATAGCTGAAAGGCATAAAATGCCATCAATTACCCAGTATTTCTGTTGCAATCAGGGTATCAATAATGAACCTTGAAAAAGCCAAAGCAAAGCAAACACTACCAATTTCTGTGGTATAAATGCAGCAATACAAAATACAAAAGAGATTAATCGACTATCACGTAATGTCACGTACCTGATTTATAATGATTTGTTCAACTGTAGTTTGAAACTCACTAGAGAAAACTCCCTCTAATGACAAATGATAATGCAGCCTCTGTCGCCATCTTGTGGCAGAATGTCAAATGTCACTTTCTTTGGTCTCCTCAGACAGGCTGATGGTGGCCGATGCACATTCTCTGAAATTATAAATATTTTAAATTAATATTTTATTTTTATTTATAAGGCACTGTCCTAATAAATAAACTGCAATCTAAACAACTATATTCTTGACTAAAAAAAGCCTTACATTATGTTGTCCAAAAGCAATATTTGTCAAACTGTAGAGTGTCCTATGCTTGATGCTATATGTGGGCGGAGTAATAAACAAGAGAGAAGAGGCTGTACCAGTGTTGTTAGTTGCAGAATAACGCACGGCTATCAGCCAATCAGATTCAAGAACCAGACAGAATGCTTATAAATATATATATATATATATATATATATATATATATATATATATATATATATATATATATATATATATATATATATATATATGAGCAATATCACATTCGTAGCAGTGTGCTATGGCTGTATATCAGCACTGGTGGGAGACGTGCGTTGGCATGAGGCCGCAGGCCGAGGTGGGGCACTAAGGCACTCGGCCGCCTCCCACCAGTGCTTATATACAGCCACAGCACACTGCTACGACTGTGATATTTCGTTTATACAACAGTTTGACGGCACAATCTTGTACATAAAAAGGAAAATCAAACACAGAGAGTCTAAAACCCTTTTGTGAAAGTCTAAAACTCTTTTGTGTTAGGAACTAAATTTTTCCGCCATTCATTCACATCTGCAGCTGACGTCAGAACAGCAAAAGCTGTTACTAATTCACAAACATCACTTTAGAGCCTGTATTTGATTGATTCTCTATTGCATAATGTGAAGGGCCGCTTCTGGTGTGTGACCCCGTTAAGGTGATGACAAAACAACAAATTTTGCTCACATTGTAAGATTATAAGGCTGAACGTGACATAAAATGCCATCCGTCTCCAGAGATTTCTCACCAGACTGCTGTTGTGTTTGCGATAAGGAGGGACAAGGCTGACTCCAGCTTCATTTTCGCAGCTTCTTATTGACCCTATCTGGTCCACCTTAAAAACCACGAGGCTTCCATTTTTCAGCTTTGTAATTCGCGCTCAGGAGAACACATTGAGCAAGGGCTTATTATGCGGTTCTGGCGCCATCTTGTGGATAGACAACATCAACCGCCGCCGATGAGCTCTCAGAAATTGTAAATATTTTAAAATAGGCACTATTCTTAAAAATAAACTGCATAATTGCAATCTAAACAACTACATTCTAAAAAATCATTTTCTTTATTCTAAATCTTAATCTAAATCTAGGAAATATTTTGGTACATTAAATGTGTCATTATGATGACGACCTAACAGGCTAATCCAGCTAAAAATAGTGCTTAAAATGTCACTAAAATACAATATTTATATCTCATACATTGTAAATAAGGCAATTGTAATATATCCAACATAAAATCATGTTTATATAAATATCTGTTGAACAGAAAGATTTTTCAACACATTTCTAAACATAAAAGTTTTATAAACTATTTCTAATAACTTATTTCATTCATCTTTGTCAGGAAAACAGTAATTAATGTTTGACTAGATATTTTTCAAGATACTAGTGTTCAGCTTAAAGTGACGTTTAAAGGTTTAGCTAGGTTTACTAGGTTAAATTTAGAGTAATTAGGCAAGTCAATAAGGATGGTTTATTCTGTAGACAATCAAAAAATATTGCTAAAGGGGGCTATTAATATTGACTTAAATGGGTTTAAAATGATTGAAAACTGCTTTTAATCTAGCCAAAATAAAACAAATATGACTTTCTCTAGAAGAAAAAATATTATCATACTGTGAAAATTTCCTGAATCTGTTAAACATCATTTGGGAAATAGTTAAAATATATATATAAATATATATATATATATATATATATATATATATATATATATATGTGTGTGTGTGTATGTGTGTGTATATGTTTATATATGCTGACATAAATACAAATCAAACACACCTGCTTATAGATTTCTAGTGATCTTGAAGACACTGATTGGCATGTTCAGGTGCTTTTGATTAGAGTTGGAGCTAAACTATGCAGGACAGTGGCCCTCCAGGACGAAGTTTGCCCACCCCTAATATATGCAGTATACTTGTGAAGTTCATATTGTTTCATTAAAAATCTTCTAGTGGTTTATGTCTCTCCCTGCTGGGCACTTGATGTAATTGTTTAGACTTGCAAAAGCAAAGAAAGCTGCTTCCTTTTCATATCATCTCCACCAAAGGATAATCATCATAATATTTAAATATAAACTTTTTATTAATTAATTAATTTATTTTTTATATAGAAATCCTTATCATATGAGATCAAATTACTAAATCAGGTTTAAAGGGTCTGTAAAAATTCTCAGATCCTCACAGTTGTATTTTTGTCAGCAGAGGGCTGAATATGAACCAAGCAATAAAACCAATGCAGGGTACAATGGCACTGTTATTGTGGATTTTCCATATCATGCTACTTTGGTTTACAATGTGATTTTAAATTTAGAATTTTTTCACATGAAACAAATGCTTCAAATTTAAAAATACTGTTTTATTTAACCCAAATTTAGATAAAATATGGACTCAATTGTTGGGTTAATTTTTGCATTAAACATCTTAAATTAAAAAAAAAACAGGTTTTTAAAAAAACTGCATTTTTTAGAGTATTTACGAAATACAAAGCAGATGTTTAGATGAACACCTTTCATCGATTATAGGCTGTAAATGCAGTTAGGTCAGAGTACAAAATTGATTTTACACCAGACAGGTCAGTTATAACTGGAAACGTCCAATATATAAATATCTCTCCTATATATTTTGCATCACAAAATCCAAAAGATTATTAAGTTCTTACATGCTGTATTGTGGAAATAAGCAACTTGAACACACTTTTTCCAGTCTTCTGCTCATAACATCAAACATAAAATGGGGGTTGATTGACATTTCCTTATCATTTGCAAGTAAATAACTTCTAGTCTTCAACGGGGTTGCACAAAACAATCAAAACTTTATTATAATGTTTATTGTAAATTAATGTTTAATGTTAACTTTTATTAAAAAAAATACTACTACTACTACTAATAATAATAATAATATATGAATAATAATAATAATAATAATGGTGACGCAGTGGCGCAGTAGGTAGTACTGTCGCCTCACAGCAAGAAGGTTGCTTTTTCAAGCCTCGGCTGGGTCAGTTGGCGTTTCTGTGTGAAGTGTGCATGTTCTCCCTGCGTTCGTGTGGGTTTCTTCCGGGTGCTCCGGTTTCCCCCACAGTCCAAAGACATGCGGTACAGGTGAATTGGGTAGGCTAAATTGTCCATAGTGTATGAGTGTGAATAAGTGTATGGATGTTTCCCAGAGATGGGTTGAAGCTGGAAGGGCATCCGCTGCGTGAAATGCTGGATAGGTTGCCGGTTCATTCCGCTGTGGAGACCCCAGATTAATAAAGGAACTAAGCTAAAAAGAAAATGAATGAATGAATGAATGAATGAATGAATAATAATAATGATAATTTATTATTATATAGTAGTTAACCCAGTTTTTGGCAAAAATAACCCAACAAATAAGTTATTTTTGCAACCCAAATAGTTGGGTTAACCTTAACAACCCAAATAGATAGGGTTAAAACAACCTAACAGCAGGGTTGTGCCAAAGCAACACAGCAATGGGTTACCTGTTTGGTTATTATTAACCTGACTGTTTTAAATGAATATATATTTTGCATCACAAAATCTTAAAGATTAATTTAAAGTTCTTACTTTACATGCTGTATTGTGGAAATAAGCAACTTGAACACACTTTTTCCAGTCTTCTGCTCATAACATCAAACATAAAATGGGGGTTGATTGACATTTCCTTATCATTTGCAAGTAAATAACTTCTAGTCTTCAACGGGGTTGCACAAAACAATCAAAACTTTATTATAATGTTTATTGTAAATTAATGTTTAATGTTAACTTTTATAAAAAAAATACTACCACTACTACTACTAATAATAATAATATATGAATAATAATAATAATAATAATGGTGGCGCAGTAGGTAGTACTGTCGCCTCACAGCAAGAAGGTTGCTTTTTCAAGCCTCGGCTGGGTCAGTTGGCGTTTCTGTGTGAAGTGTGCATGTTCTCCCTGCGTTCGTGTGGGTTTCTTCCGGGCGCTCCGGTTTCCCCCACACTCCAAAGACATGCGGTACAGGTGAATTGGGTAGTCTAAATTGTCCATAGTGTATGAGTGTGAATAAGTGTATGGATGTTTCCCAGAGATGGGTTGAAGCTGGAAGGGCATCCGCTGCGTGAAATGCTGGATAGGTTGCCGGTTCATTCCGCTGTGGCGACCCCAGATTAATAAAGGAACTAAGCTAAAAAGAAAACGAATGAATGAATGAATGAATGAATGAATAATAATAATGATAATTCATTATTATATAGTAGTTAACCCAGTTTTTGGCAAAAATAACCCAACAAATAAGTTATTTTTGCAACCCAAATAGTTGGGTTAACCTTAACAACCCAAATAGATTGGGTTAAAACAACCTAACAGCAGGGTTGTGCCAAAGCAACACAGCAATGGGTTACCTGTTTGGTTATTATTAACCTGACTGTTTTAAATGAATATATATTTTGCATCACAAAATCTTAAAGATTAATTTAAAGTTCTTACTTTACATGCTGTATTGTGGAAATAAGCAACTTGAACACACTTTCTCCAGTCTTCTGCTCATAACATCAAACATAAAATGGGGGTTGATTGACATTTCCTTATCATTTGCAAGTAAATAACTTCTAGTCTTAAACGGGGTTGCACAAAACAATCAAAACTTCATTATAATGTTTATTGTAAATTAATATTTCTGTTGAATTAAATGTTTAAAATTTAGTCAGATGTACAATTTACTTTTTACAATTTCATTACAATTACATTTTTAGTCTATTTTTCTGTTTAGCGGTGTTGCTGTCCAAATGGGTAAAGTAGATTTATATTATTGAGCTATTTGCATCTGTTATAATGTATTTTCAACCAATCATTTGTCATTTATGACAGACATTTGCTTGTCTCATAATCATACAAACATGATTAATCATAATCATGCTCTCTTTAAATATACTGTAATGTTATAAGCAACAATAAATAAACAAACAAACAAATAAACAAAAAATATATAATAAATACATAAAAAATTAAAATAAATAAATCAATCAATGAATGTAGTACCAACATTAAAACTCAACATTTCCCAGTGCTTCTACAGTATTACTTGGCGCATCAGGAATTTTCTGATCTCACAGCAGTGCAAATGGCCATATTGTTGTACATTTGAGCATGGCTGCACTAATGTTTAAGTCTGAGTCACTAACCCACTTAGAGCGATATCCCGGGGCAGAAACAGTGTTGCACGTGAGAGCGTTTCCCCGTTTCATCCTCTGAGCTCTCAAATGCACGTGGAGGCCTGTGCCAGATGGTGAGCTCTTCATCTGCCAGCGGATCTGAGCTCGGCCTGTCTGAGACACGCTGGAAATCATCTCCTGTCCTTGTGCCAGTGACACAAAAGAGCCGTATGCTGTTTGCATATGTCTGAGGCAGGAGAATGACACATTTGGATCCTGTGGTTAGAGGCATAAATGGGAAAGTTTTAGAAATCACAGCTTATAATTGATGATGATGAAAATGCTTTTGCAAAATGATGTGAACAAGTATGCTGCAAAAGTTGTTGTAATTTATTTCTGTGATCATTTCTTCTTCTTCATTATTATTATTATTATTATTATTATTATTATTATTATTATTATTATTATTATTATTATTATTATTATATTAGTCTTCAGTGTCAATTGATCTTTTAAAAATTATTCTAATTTGCCCAAATAAACATTTCTGATTATTATCAATGTTGTAAACAGCTTGGTATTTTTGTGGAAAATTATATAATGTAATTCAAAAAGTACAATTGGTGTGTGTGTGTGTGTGTGTGTGTGTGTGTGTGTGTGTGTGTGTGTGTGTGTTTTTCTTTACAAAATATTTTATAAAACAAAATTCTGGTTCTTAGTTTTTCCTCAATTGCTTTGGCTCAATTCTCGATTGAAATGTTTTTCTTTTTCAAAACAATAAGTTTAGAACTCTGAACAATTAGTTGATTGTTCACTTTAGAGTGGCATTTATTATTGATTTAAGCAAATTGCAAATGCTTTGGCACATGTGTGCAAACAGTAAGTACAATTGTCTGTAGTTTAGACAAAAACTAATTGCATATGGCTTTTTGATCAAAACCGATGAGTCAATTCTCATTTAAACTGTCGAATTTTTTACAACTTCTCAATCATTTTTCATCATGTAAGCCACCACACTTAAAACTGTTTATTTAATGATCAAACATTTGTATAGGCACATGTTTACATCATAAATATCTGATATTGACATTGTAATGTCTGCTAAATTGGTAAATGACCTCTAGTTGCCATACAATTTGCATGATCTATTTATTAAGCAATCAAGTTTGTCTGATAATATTTTTTTCTTCTGGAGAAAGTCTTGTTTGTTTTATTTAGGCAAGAATAAAAACAGTTTTTAATTTTTAAAAAACATTTTAAGGTCAAGATTATTACCCCTCTTTAAGCTATATTTTTTCCGATAGTCTACTGCACAAACCATCAATATGGCTTGCCTAATTACATTAACCTGTCAGGTTTACCTTGTTAAGCCTTTAAATGTCACTTTAAACTGTTTAGAAGTGTCTTGAAAAAATATATAGTAACATATTATTCACTGTCATCATGGCAAAGATAAAATAAATCAGTTAGAAATGAGTTATTACAGTTTTTCTTGTTTGACTTGACCTGGTTAAAGAAACTAGGTTCCACTTCATTTTTTCATCACTATCCAAGCAGAGCAGAAGACAGGTCTTGAAAATATGTAAGCCCTTTGTCATTGGGTTGACACATTTTCCCCACCATTTTTTAAAACAGTTAGCACGGATGCCATTCAAGCAGTCCAAACTCCATTGTTTTAGCTATGGTAACCAAACAGAAACCATCTATTCCTAACCATTAGAGACTACCAAGATCAGTATGGATTCACTGAAGCACCGGTTTGACACTCCTACACAGAAATCTTCAATTAGCAATCTGCAAACATTAAAAACGATGAAAGGTCTGTGTTGTAAGTGGCTACGTCCTATACTCCCAATAGATTTGACTGTATATTTGGTTCACATGTGTTTTTTCTAACATTTACAGTATTTTAATAAGTTTTTAACAGTATTTCAGTTTTCAGCCACAGTTTAAAAAATGTCAAGAATTCAATATAAATTTAATCAAAGCGTTTCTTATTCTGGATCTAATTCTTTGCAAAAGGCAAATTTGACAGCTCAAATAGAAAGACAACAAATGGCATTGGCAATAGACTACGATGGCAAGCAATGGTGCACTGATTCACACTGAGTTCTTTATTTTGTATTTTGTTGTCCATTGTGTAATGATTAATTGAAAGAGCTCATATACTTGTTTGCAAGTTGTGTTGTTTGAAGGTAAAACTAGCTTTTGTTGCATATTTTAAATGTTTTGCCACGGTATGTGTGTTTTTCAAGCAAAATGTGTCATTTTGACCATGAGTGCCGCTATTTAGGCCTGTGTGTTAACTGATTTGAAAACGTGGAGTTTCAGTTGACGGCTGCATCAAAGCAATCAAGAAAAACTGTAAAACTATTATGTTTAGAAATGTGTTGAAAAAATCTGCTCTCTGTTAAACAGAAATTGGAGAAAAAAATAAACAGGGGGCTAATAATTCTGTCTTCAACTGTGTGTACATATATACAATTTTTAGTATATTATATATATATATATATATATATATATATATATATATATATATATATATATATATATATATATATATTTACAAACCTGAACTGCAGTAACATGCTTATGGAAGAGCAATTGGAAGACATGTTATCTCTGACCGACAAGAGCAACAGAATGTCCACCAAAAATATTTTTTTCATGCATGATATTTTGTAATGTTTGTGTGTGAGTGTGAGTGTGTGTGTGTGTGTGTGTGTGTGTGTGTGTGTGTGTGTGTGTGTGTGTGTGTGTGTGTGTGTGTGTGTGTGTGTGTGTATTTGTGTTAACATAGGAAATATAAAACCTACAGTAAATGGACAAGAAAGATTGCACCTTTTTTGTACACAAATAAATGTACTTTATAAATACAAATGTTCATTTATTTTTTCTATGTACTGGTCAATTTTCTCAACAAATATTAGATTTTCTTAAACCTTAAGTTCCATGATTGACTGACTATCATGGTGGAAAAAAACAACTAATCAGTTTGAGCAGTGTGGCTGAGACGATGGCAAATTCACCTTATGCTTTTGTGGCCTTAGACAAATTGCTGACACAAAAACTAGGTTTTAAAGCATGATTGAAATGTTTTAGGGGAATAACTACATTTTGCAGACATGCAACAAAGTTCCAGTAAACAGTTTTGAGATTTGCACTTACAGTTTAGAGAATGTTAAAAGAAGTTTTAAAAACATGTGCCAAAGCAATTGAAAAAAACTTTAACATTCATTATAGAATCCTTAAAAGTTAAATGTTTTCACAAAAAAATATGAAGCAGAAAAAAGTCTACAGTTATAATGATAAGATTATTAATGGTATATGCATCAACAGTTAATGTGTAATTACTTTATTATTTTAATTATTAAAATAATTGTGTGTTGTTGTGTGTATCACCACCAGTTTAACCAAACAGAAATGAGCTCACTCTTAAAAGATGTGCTAAAACTGACTTAAACTATGTTAAATTCATACATATTTTAGGGTGAGTTCTGCGACAATGTTTTTTGTGTGTTAATTTCAACACATTGACTGCATGTAGATGATTTTAACACAGTAAATGTGTTAGAAAGGTTAACATAAATCAGGGTAAACATTAACACATAATGTGGTGTGCTTAAAATGTAGTCAAGGTAGCTTTGTGTTACCTTGGAATATACATGTTGTAGTTTTTTGGAATAAAGTTAGTTTATTCAGCAAAACATATTCATGCTTCAACAAAAGCCTAATTTGAGAGTGAACATTCATTACAATACAGAATATATGATAGTTTTCAAGTATAGGGTAGTTTTCCCCTATAAGCATGTTTTTCAGAATTTCACACTTTATATAAGATAGATGTGATCAATTTAATTATCCAGTTGGAATATTGACTAAAGATGAAAACTGATGCAAGCTAGGGAGAATATGAATTGTTGTAGACCCAGAAACCTAAAAAGCTGATCCAAGGTAGACTGTCATCTTCCAATGGAATAATAACTTTTTGTAATTTTTGGCAACAAAGGTGGGTTTCACTGGTCATGTTTGCAAAGCAGGCTTGTTTTGGCTGATGTTTTAATGTCACAATCTCATCATTGTCTCATTAAAATAAAAATTCTGGTCCCAAAACTATAGTAATGTAGATGAATAAGAAGTTAAAAAGAACTGTATCATTTTGTGAGAGAGGTGGATAGAGCATAAGAGAGAAGGAGACAATGAGATAAAATACAGAAGGTAAGAACAAATGACACATACTTTGTTTATGCAGCCCTTTTAGGTGTGATTCAATATACAAGACCATAATAAATTAATAACTAACACATCTGCATAATATTTCACACATTAATGTTATTGTTTATTAATGTGTAATTGTGTGCTTATTTTGTTTACAATCACCTTCAGTTTTACCAATCAGAGGTCAGCTATGGTGGTGGCATCATTCCAACAAGACCACCATTCTTAGGTGACAATGGAATATTGAATTTAAATATCTAATATTGATAAAATATAAAAACATTTAATAAACGTATAGCTTTATATACAAAAAAGTCAGAATTATTAAACCCCCTAAATAATTATTCCCCCTAATTATTTCCCCCCCAATTTCTGTTTAATGGAGAGCAGATTTTTTCAACACATTTCTAAACATAATAGTTTTAACAACTCATTTCTAATAACAGATTTTTTTAATCTTTGCCATGATGATAGTACATATTATTTACTAGATATTTTTAAGACACTTCTATACAGCTTAAAGTGACATTTAAAGGCTTAACTAGGTTAATTAGGTTGACTAGGCAAGTCAGGGTAATTAGGCAAGTTATTGTATAATGATGGTTTGTTCTGTAGACTATCGGAAAAAAATAGCTCAAAAGGGCTAATCATTTTGACCTAAAATGGATTATTATAATTAAAAATTGCTTTTATTCTAGTCGAAAATAAAACAAGAAAGAAGAAAAAATATCAGACATAATGTCCTTGCTCTGTTAAAAATAATTTGGGAATTATTTAAAAAAGAAAAAAAATTCAAAGGGGTTTTCATAATTCTGGTTTCAACTGTCAATTCTCCATTATTTTGATTTATAATTTAGTTATTTGTTACCCTAAAGTATAATCTAAAAAAAGTTTTATTCTGTAATTGAGGCTACTGATGAAATTTTATTCAAATTGTTAGAATTTTGTGTGATAAGGAAGCAAATTGCCATCTGTGCACCACAAGTTTTATCTTCTCCCTTCTGGTATTCGATATAGAACTCCTATTAGTAAAACAAATTGGTTTAAAGAAACTTCCATTTATCCCCTCAACGTAACATTTTAAAATTTAGGGTAGAATTTGTATAATGTGCTTTTGTATAATGAATTGAAATGAATAAAGACTAACTGATTGACTGAATTGCAGGCCCGTAGCCAGCTTGGTGAAAGAGGTGATTCTTTTTTTCTCAAAAAGTGGGCCTTTTTTCAGTCATTCGCCCCATTTTCTATTTAATTATGAGGTTTATATACTGCATTTAATTACATTTTAAGCACTATTTTTACCAAAAGCATTTTCTAAAGATTTAGAATAAAGAAATATGAAAACAATATTTATTTTTAAAATAAAAAAATAGGAATCTGTTAAAGTTTTAAATTCATTAGGCAAATAACAAACTGGCCCGCACTTTTAACCATCTTCAGTCAGAATTTGGGATGCTGAATTTGCCAAGCTGTGACTTCAGAACAGAAAGTCATGGCAAATTCCGTGTCCCAAATTCTGTACTAACAGCCAACACAGGATTTCGCTTGATCTTAAAGTATTTTTTGATGGGTTATCTTCACAATTTATTATTGAATAGCGGTCAAAATAGGACAAATGAGCTCATGCATGGGACAAATTCTGGACCTTTTTCAGTGAGGGGTGGGTCTTTCCAACCAACCGAAACCTCCCTGGGTACAGGCCTGAAACGAGAAGGAAACAATTTTGTTTATTTACAAATAAACACTGCATATTTAGAAGTGTTTATCTGCCCATATACTTTGCCGAGATCGCTAGATAGCTAGCTAGATAGATAGATAGATAGATAGATAGATAGATAGATAGATAGATAGATAGATAGATAGATAGATAGATAGATAGATAGATAGATAGATAGATAGATAGATATAGATAGATAGATAGACGGACAGAATTTTTTTTATGTAATAAGGTTGATGATAATAATAATTAACTTTCAGTGTGCTCACCTTACACCTGTGCAACAGCTTTAGTCACGCTGTTTTTCATTGTAAAATGCCTGTAGGCTAAAAACTACACTAATTTTTTCATTCCACCAGCCTCAGTATCTTCCCGGAAACTGTCTCGTCTTGGCCTGTGATACGGCGTGCGGCAGCCAGTGGCGAGTTTCTGCCGTGACGTGTGTCGCCTGCACCCGCCCATCAGCCTCCGCAGCCTGTCTTTGCGGCACAGGGAGTCCGTAACCTGGACAAACAGCAGCCAGACTTCAGTCCACAGAACCATCCATCATCGCTATGGGAATTATAGCGTTCGTCTTCCAAAACCAAGCGCTTATCCCCTACTACCTGAAACCCGTACACTCCGGGGCACAGACTATAAAAAGGCGTGAGGGGACTGAATTTGTACACTGAGGGAGGATAAACCCAGCGAAGGGACAAGACCTCACAACAATGTGGGTGTCCTGTTGATGCGGAGATGCTGATGCTCCACCTATGAAGCCGAAAAGTAACAGATGTGGACCTGGGCATATTTAAAGAAGAGAGATTCCGCTGGGACAATGCCTGGGAAAATGTCTTTGATTTGGTCGCTGACGGTAAGTTTTACCTACGCATTATGCTTCTTTTGTCATCTCGAATATTCGGGCTTTTGTTCCATTTAAAGGGACAGTGTATTTACCTGGTGTAGCTCATTAGTGAATATTAGGATGTGCCCCAAACAAAAACAAACAAACAACAACAAAAAATAATAAATTAAGTTATTTTAGAAATGCTAATAATTACTGATAAAGAGATGGCAATAGTTGTTATTGTAGCCCATAGTCTGTGAGACAGTCATTGTCTTACATTAGTCAGTAATAGTTAAATAATTATTCTTCCCAAAGTGGAATTGTTTAAATGTCAGACTGGGCATATCATTTGACATATTTTAAGAGATATTAAAAAGCAAATGATGCATTTTTGTCAGTGAGTACTTTATTTTAAGTGTATTTACATTGTTATTATGACTTGATATTTTATCATACTCATGGTTTACTCAGTAACACTGCTTTATCATTTTGAATACTAACAATAAATTATTTGTTGTTTTTGTTTTAAAAACATTCAAATAAATGTATTTATTATATTAAAAACAGCTAAATTATTTTGGATAGCTCACCCAAAAATGAAAATTTACTCACCATTTAGGCTACTCTCCCTCAAGTGGTTCTAAACCTTTATAGGTTTCCTTTTTTTCTGCTTAACACAAAAGAAGATATTTCGGAAAATGTTAGAAAACTGTAACTACTGACTTCCACTGTAGGAATAACAGATACCATAGAAGTCAGTGGTTTCCAGCATATTTCAAAACAACTACTTTTGTGTTCAGCAAAAGAAAGAAACATGTTTGTGACATTTGAAAGACAGAATTTTCAGTTTTGGGTGAACTATCCCTTTAATATCTCATCATTATTTTAATATCATCGCCATGTATTTTGGATATACTACCATTTTAAAGTTTTTTGCATGACTTCTCCTTATGTTATTGTTTCATGGACACTGTTTTGAGCCTACGAAACTTGATATTCCTAATGAATTGTAAACATTTACAAGCCTTAATATCCTTATGCTTTTTGCAGTCAGTTGAGGTTAATTTGGTATATCACATCAGACCGGCTCATCCACTAGCAGCTCTTTATCTGGGGACTATTAAATCCCATAATGCACCGGCTTACTGTTGCTGCTCTGTTTTCCAGAATTGGATTCAATTGTTTGATATCCATGCTGATGATACGCATTATTAGTCTAACAACAGCTAAACATTTATTCGTTTTCTTTGTCAGTTAAAATTGTGCATGTGCATCTTTAAAATAAATGCATGTTTTGCCATTCGTTGCCAATGATGCAATATGTTTGGCTGGTGGCCCGACATTTCACGGAATATTCCTTGCTCATTCATGCCGCCTGCAGACTCATTGGATTGTTGTCGATTATAAAATGGGCATGAATGCCTCCAGACAGGGGAGTGTTTGTTCTTGTTCTGCAGTCTTCAGTTATGATGTATTAGAGGTGTAACAGGTGCCCTGTTAGCCTCACAGAGTCTGGTACATGGAGTGCTGATGATATTACACCTGTTCCTGCATCTGCTAGTATAGATTTGCACGCTATGTTGTTTGTGACTACAGTAAACAACATCCATAAATCTATAATCAAATCCATAGCTAAATTCACTGAAATATACGCCAGATCTGGGTTGCGCAATACTTTTACATTTGGTTTCCTCACATAGTATTTACTGTTTACTGAGTTACATCATTGATTATGCTCAAATTACAAATAATTATTAGGTTATGTAAAGTCTATAGGCACAGATTGCAAGCTCATGTAGTCAGTGAAACTGATACATCAGGCTGAAAGTTTAGTCAGGAAACCCCATGAGTCATTCAGAAGCATCATAGAGAGTTCATAGAACAGCTGAGTCAACCATTAACCCTACTGCAAGCTGTATAGTACTGCTTTAGCTTCTTTTAAAGCCTGATAAATTACTTAATATTAAGAAAAAATAATATATATATATATATATATATATATATATATATATATATATATATATATATATATATATATATATATATATATATATTATTTTATTTATTTTTTTACTTATTTTATGTTTTCAAAGTTATCACATTCCATATTGCATGATTTTATGCTTCATATATTATAACATAGTAAGAATTTAGAGCTTTTATTAGAGAAAAATACACCTCAGGCCTAAACAGAGCAAATATAAGCAATTTCCTGTTGGTTTTATGGGCAAAAAGATGACATTCCAGCAGATTGTGATGTAAATCAGTGAGATTGTTACAATATAACAAACTTCTTACATAAGGGCATATACATATCCTTAGTCTCTACATCTTCAATAACATGCAAGATTATGTTTAAATTCCTAGCTTTATGATGAAAGCTATGTAGTTTTTTTTATTTTGGGGGATACTATATAATACAAAGGAAACAATGATATCTGAAATATGTACAAGTAAAAGTTCCTTTAAGTATCATGTTTGATACTTTTGAATGTTTTTAAACTTTATGAAAATAATTTTTTTTAAAAACGTCACCGCAAAAAGATCCATCACAGCCCGAATGTGGACATTTTAGCAAAGTTTGATTATGTGCTAATTCCAAGAAAATATTGTAGCATGTATAATATGTTCTGTACAATATTGTTTGGGGAAACAAAGCAGTAATATTTTTCTTAAGTTCATTTAAGAAGCTGTTTTGCTTATTTGTTGTTTCAAAAGTCCCTCTGGTTAATAAAAGTTATCTTTTAATCTAGATTGGATTTTGTTTTTTGTTTAGTAGCAAAAACAGTGGTGGCAATGTATGCTTTTATTAAAAATGGAGAGATATTAGGGATGTTCAGATCCGATCACCTGATTGGAAATCAGGCTTCATCACGCGGTTTACGACTCGATCGGAATTGGATGTTCAGGACTCAGGAATGGAATATATATAGTTATATACAGAGTTAGACCTTTTTTTTTGACCTCACACAGAAACAGCAATGTGTGCGGTATGACATCACTTTGTTGCAGAGACGCTATTTTGTTAAATGCCGGCAAAGTAAAACTCGGAAGCAGCTTGAAGCGGAAAGCACGAGTATGTCTGTGGTCTGGAGGTATTTTAAAGTTGATGATGACAACATTGCCTAAGCAAACTGTAAGATGTAAACTTGGGATTGTCTTGCGCGTATTTTAAACTGAGGTGCTATTTGTTTTTATATTAGATTTTTTTTTTATATTTACTGCTGCACAAGTCCAAAAGTGAAGAATTGATGTTATTTATAACTTGATTGTTCAAGCTACCTCTTAAAGTGCTCCAAATCTTGGATTTGTTTCTTCGCTCTTCTTAATTTTTCTTATGCGGTATAGAAGTATCGGATCGGGTTTCGGTATCAGTAGATACTAAAAATCAAATGACTCAAGAGGCAAATAAACCTGATTGTGACATCACTAATAGATATGTAAATATGTGTTCTTTATTTTAATAAAAAATTAACATGTCTCAATGACAGTGGTGAAAAAACAGCCAATAGAAAATCATCTGATCATAGTAACATGAAAGTTCACGCAAGTTAGTTCAGTCAAGTCAAGACAAATATTTCCACAGATCAGTATGTGGACAGTTGATTGCTTTGAAGCAAGCAGCATTAATGTATTAACTATGAAAAACAATATCGGCTGTGCTTTCAACAAGAATTACACTTAAGTTTCTACAATTAGCGGCTCCTATTCTCTGTTTATGCTTTTTTCTCATGGACGATGATTTGAATCAAAAAAAAAAAAAAAAAAAAAGAGAGAGTTGCATGTCAAAACAGACGAAGCCTCAGAGCCACACCTACCTACTATGTATGTGCACATGCACCAATGGTAGTTCGAAGATGTTTACCAGACAAATGAACTACTGAAAATATTTAATCTTTTGAAGAGATGTTTTAAAAGTGGCACTATTGAAAGTCACAGCTATAAAAGTATTTGTTTTGAATTTCCGCCAGGCCTGCATATTTTACCAACGTCGAGACATTTCGCCGACACCAACGACAAGAATGCGAAAACACTCCTGCATAATAAGTCATATCAATCTAAGCTTCCATTAAAAGGTTCAAGACTGTATATTGGGTTTCACGAGAGTGCACTTTTAACCCAGACACAGGTGGGTGGGATGACAAGGCGGAGTTGCAACTTGCTTCGTACATCATGTCTCTTCTTGTGGTTATCGAAAGCAAAAGAGCATGAAAAAAGTGTTCCTCTTATCTTAGGTTGCACGTTCCTCTTCCCAGGAGAGCTTGAAAGAAAAAAGCGAGTGGTGAGGCAACAGTGCACTCATTCTTTGCTTTAGTAAGCATAGAGAGATTGTCCAGTCATCAGTGAAGTTGTCCCCCTTACTGGCCTACTTCAGTCCCTCGTCTGTTAGCTCACTGCTGGCCCTCTTCTACAGCTCAGGCCGCTGGGAAAGCACAGCTTTGCCTAATCGCTATTCATGTTCAGTCTGTCCTCCCGAAACAATGCCCATCACCTCACGAAGAGCAACACATGCGCTCTGGCATCGTCCTGCGGTTCCCAGCGATGTCAGTATGTGTTGGCTGGAGAATATTAATGTCATGTTTATTTTGATTCAGCCCTCCCCGTATTAGCAAGGAAATTAGTCTCCTGTGCTTTTATACTAGTCTCCTGTGCGGTCTGTTGTTGAGGAACTGTAATAAAACTCCAGGGGTTTCATGATCAGCAGTTAATAGAACTTTTGTGTTTCGAAAGTGATGATGCAGCGGGGCCCTTGTGTGTTGGAGATTTGAGCTTTCCAGCATCATATTTTTCGGTGACGACTTTTGTACCGAGCCCAAGAAGCTCGTCGTAGCCAAAGACCCATTTAGGTGCGGAATTAAAATGTGGACTAGCATCATAAAGAATATTAGATGCAGTTAACATGCTGTGCAGTCGGCTTTGTTGGATGTGCCGGAGGAAAGAGGGGGACCGTTATGATCGGAATTTGGCTTTCAATGGGGCACGTTCAAGCTGTAGTAACTTTAAAGCGGCTGTGTTTACAGGCTTCTTGCCATTAAAAAGTTATTTTGAAGGTCACAGGGCTGTGAGAGTGCTGTCAACACATTCCAGGGTTCCCTGTTATTGGTCTTTAAGGTGTTTTTGCATGGGTGATTTGTTGCAGACTGTGTAAATGTTATGCAGACTTTTATTATCATAAGGCTTTAGAAAGAAAATATGAGTTGCTTGCGTTTCTGCACACATAGCAGACAGAAGAAAATGTGCTTGTTGATGTTGATGTCACCTTTTTTTTAGCATTTTTTGGGGGGTTTTCGTATATATTTGTAGTACAGCAGGGTTTAACTGGATAGTGTGGGGAGCAAAGAGAGGAGAACAGGACCGGTAAAGGATCTCAAGTCGGGAATCGAACTCAGGTGGCTGTGAGCACCTCAATGCTATATGTAAACGCAGTTAACCACTAAGAAATGTGCACCAAAGAAATCACAACATTAAGTGTTTAAAGTCTGCTAAGCATTTAACATTTAACTTGCCTTTTAAGATATCTTTGTTTGGATGAGAGAGAAATCTATAAAAAATATTACATTTAATTCAAATTTAGTAGTTTGTAATTGTTTGTTCAATAAATTGTTTGGATTTAAATTGATATTTTTCTATTCGTAGAGATGTTAGGTGACCAATCTATTATTTTAATAGATATAACTGTTTAATAAAAAAAGCAAAAAGGTTGCTGGTTTGAGCCCCGACTGGCTCAGTTGGCATTTCTGTGTGGAGTTTGCATGTTCTCCCTGTGTTCGTGTGGGGTTCCTCTGAGTGCTCCAGTTTCCCCCACAGTCCAAAGACATGCGGTACAGGTGAACTGAATAAGCAAAGTAGTGTAAATGTGTGAATCAGTGAGTGTATGGGTGTTTCCCAGTGCTGGGTTGTGGCTGGAAGGGCATCCAATGCATAAAACATATGCTGGAGTTAGTGGTTCATTCCAATATGGCGACTCTTGATAAATAAAGGGAATAAGCTGAAGGAAAATGAATAAATCAATGTTTTTCTTTAAATGCTGAGAAAATATTGGCTGTATTCACTGAAACAATTGATAAGGGACTTTACTCATTTATGCTGAGCACTGTATATGAATATCTGTAAATACACAGATTAAGAAAATTCACAAACTTCAAATGGAAAAATAGACAAACTCAACAAAAACAAATCAGTGTTTTTCTGTACACGGAGTGCCAAACTACGCAGTTAGGGCCTGTTTGTCTTGTTTCTTTCGAGGTATGTGATCAAATTGAAAACATTCCTGCTTAATGAAGCATTTTGAAAATCTTCCCGTATCACAAGTGAATAGAGTGAGTTTATCAATAGCATATGTTTAGGAATTAGGTCAGTAGGCAGAGGGTAGGTGGTATTTAGTTGCTGTTCAAACACATTTGACCCCTTGAGCATCTACACAACGAAAACAATCAAATAATCTCTAGAAATGCTCGAAAGTGGACAAGCTTGAAAAATATCAGACTGCATCTCATGCTTACAACTTTTCACAAATTGTCACATTTTTCATTGGGCCCAGTTCTTTATGCTTTCCAAATGTCCTTTTTTATGTTTTTTTTTTATCATTGTGACTTTTTGTTCTTTTATACTTTTTTATCTAGAAGAGAAAAAAATGACAGAAGGGGAAAAACTAGAAATAAGAACAAAGAACAAAGCTGTTGTCATTTGGGTTACAAAGTTAAGTCATAATACAATTGACGCACATTATCACAAATTGCTTACAATGGCATACTTAGACCATTTTGCCAGTACTTGTCGCACTTTTTTGAATCAAATCTTAAGTTAAAAGTCAGTCTCTCCATACAGTGTATTTCCTTTACAATTTCAATCCATTGAGCCCTTGTTGGAGGATCAACCTAAAACCTTTTTTAAGTTATGGCTTTTCTGCCACTTGCCAAAAGAATCCGAATTAAGTATTTGTCAGTAGTTGGAATAATTTCTGGTATTTTCCTACGGTATAATGTGATAAATGAGTAGACCAATTCCAAATTATCTTTTTTATTCCAGTCACTATTTCATACCAGAAGGTCTGTATTTTTGAGCTTTGTGAAAATGGTTAGCCTTTGAGGTTCCACATTGTCTCTAAAAAGAGCCCAAACTTTCAACACCTGTACATAATGCAGACAGTTTAGGAGTTATGAGGAATCTCATCAGATTTTTCCATCCAAACTCTCTCCAAGTTTTTGCATGTGTGGCACACATATCTGGACACCCATTCTTTGAACACTTTTCTTCAGCATCTACTTTGAAAACAACCTAAACAACCTTCTGTGTTATAACAAACCCAAATGTAACTGTGCAGTCAATTTTATTGCAGGGTGATGAGGGAAAAATCAATACACTGGTGCTTTGTTGTGCCAAACTTGGTCACAACTAATGTGAATAGCTTGACATGGACATGTTGTTTTATGAGCATCATCAGGCCCACTTGTTTGACATTCTCTCTAAAATGTTTGAATGAAATGCTCATTTAAACCTTTATTTACTAACATAAAACATATATATATATATATATATATATATATATATATATATATATATATATATATATATATATATATATATATATATAATTTATTGTGCCTACTATTATTTTTTATTATAAGAATTTTATAAAAATGTATAATTTTATTTAAAGGGAGATTGCAAAAGCCTAGCTTCTGCTTTAAACTGTCACTGAATAGCTACTATTAAATATTTAATATTTAAAAATATACACAAAAACCTAAAATACAGTGAAACACCCTAAATCTGTTAAAACGCGTGGTTCTGATGGCGGTTGAGTTTGCAGCAAGATATTGGGAGACAGCTGACAGGAACAGTGAACAGAGCTCCTGTATGGGCGCGCGTCTATTATAAAACACTCACTGGACATTAATTTGGACAACTATGCGGATATATTAAATAGTTCACACAAAAATACACAAAGAGAGACTATCCCTTTCACTTCACTCATAGTTTGTGAATGAACAGATTTACTACTACTGTACTAGCTGTAGATGCGATCATGAGGCTGTTTTTGCACCGAGTTTGAAATAATCAATCAGAGAACAGGAGAAAGTGCATTACTTTGATCATTTTTATACAGCATAATAATAAAATAATGAGAGTATAGTTATTTTAAGCTATCTCGCGGCCCACCTGCAGGATTGCTGAGGCCCACTAGTGGATGAATGAACATAAATCAACCTTCCAATTAACATCCATTGGCTAGAAAAGTCCCTTTGAATAAACATTTTTGGGAGCAGCATAGAGGCTCAGTGGTTAGCACTGTCACCTAACAACAAATAGGTTGCCTGTTTGAGTCCTGGCCGGCCTAGTTGCCATTTCTGTGTGGAGTTTGTATATTCTCCCCATGTTGGGGTTGGTTGCCTCCGGGTGCTCCGGTTTCCCCCACAATCCAAAGACATGTTGTATAGGTGAATTGGATAAACTAAATTGGCCGTAGTGTATGGGCGTGTGTGAATGAGTGTGTATGGGTGTTTTCCAGCACTGGGTTGTGGCTGAATGGGCATCTGCCGCTTAAAAATATACCGGCATAGTTGGTGGTTCATTCCGCTGTGGCGACCTTTGAAATAGAGACTAAGCCGAAGGAAAATGAATGAATGAATGATCCTCTGCTCTGAATGTATGTCATAATATTGTAGAAAAAGTTTACTGCTATTTCCTTTTCAACCTGTCAGCTCCACAGATTTTGTTGTATTTAATCATCAAGCAAATGAAAGATTACTTAATTCCTTTCTTGCTCAAGCCATCTCTATTTATCAAGTATTGTTGTCTCTTCTTAAACCAATGACAGAGTGGTCATTCATGATGAATAGTCCTATAGCCTGTGTTCTGATTGTTTATATTGTCATAGTATAACAGTCTTCTTGTTGTTCTTTCATTGCTGTTAGCTGCTGCTTACTGTGGTCGGTGACGTCTTAACCCACACGCTGACCCCCATCCCGACCACAGAGAAGCCCTTGTCTCCTCGGCACTACCACCACATCGACCCCGCCACTGGGAACAAGCTGGTGTGCGACAAGTGTCCGGCGGGCACCTACGTGTCATCCCACTGCACAGAGGCCAGTGTACGGGAATGCAGCCCTTGTCCGGACGGCACCTTCACTCGGGGTGAAAACGGTGTTCAGCAATGCCACCGCTGTCAGAGACGCTGCCAAGCCCCTTTTATCGAGAAAACTCCCTGCACATCCACCACTGATCGCTTGTGTGTGTGTCCGCCAGGCAGCTTCTCTCAGGATGGAAAGTGTCAGCGCCACTCATCATGTCTGCCTGGGTGGGGCGTCCGAAAGAGAGGAAGTGAAACAGAGGATGTACGCTGCCAGCCATGTCAGCGTGGCACCTTTTCCGCCATTACGTCAGACTCTCTGAGGTGCCAAACTCACACAGATTGCCCTGCATTGGGCTTAACTCTGCTGATCAAAGGCACAAAGAAGACTGATAATGTGTGTGGCCCAAATCCAGCCAGTTCAGTCCCTGTCCTACTTGGAGAAGCCTCTGTTTCTACAGTTTCCAGCACTGAGTCAGCATATAGAGGTGAGAGTGTGTCTAGAGAGAGATGGATGGATACAAGTCAGAATTATTAGCCCCTCTTTGATTTTTTTTCTTTTTTAAATATTTCCCAAATGATGTTTAATAGAGCAAGGAAATTTTCACAGTATGTCTGATAATATTTTTCCTTCCAGAGAAACTCTTATTTGTTTCATTTCGGCTAGAATAAAAGCAGTTTTAATTTTTTTAAACACATTTTAAGGACAAACTTATTAGCCCCTTTAAGCTACATATTTTTTTTCGATATTCCACAGAACAAACCATCGATATACAATATACTTGCCTAATTACCCTAACCTGCCTAGTTAACCTAATTAACCTAGTTAAGCCTTTAAATGTCACTTTAAGCTGCATAGAAGTGTCTGGAAAAAAATCTAGTCAAATATTATTTACTGTCATCATGGCAAAGATAAAATAAATCAGATATTAGAAATGAGTTATTAAAACTATTATGTTTAGAAATGTGTTGAAAATCTCTCCATTAAGCTGAAATGGAGGAAAAAAATAAACGGGGGGCTAATAATTCTGACTTCAACTGTATATCTTTAAAAGATAGTTCACCCACAAATGAAAATTCTCAGTTAACAAGGAATAACTTTAATGGTTCCAAACCTGTTTGAGTTTGTTTCTTCTGTTGAATACAAAAGAACCCTCTAGCCATTAACTTTCATAGTGCAGTGGTCCCTTGTTTATCGCAAGAGTTACGTTTTAAAATAATCCACAATAGGTGAGTCCAGTATTATAGAATGAAAGATCAAAACCTATTTCCTGGAGCAAATAATCATTGCTGTCAGCAAAAGGTTCATAAAGCTTTTTAGCTTTTGTGCGGATAATGTTGGCATCCAGCGTTATGTTCGTATTCCTGCAATCACTGATCCACAAAACTAAAGAGCACTCTATCTTTAAGGGGGTCACACAGCAAATGTGCTGCGTACATGACAGTTGGAAGTTACACACACCGAGGGTGCACTTTCACATTTTATTTAAAATGAAATTATTCAGTTGGCATCAATGGCGTAGTGGTTAGTGTGTTGACACATGGCACTGTGGTGTTCACGATTCCCACCTCAAGGTCCTATGCCGATACTTTCCCGCTCTCTGCTCTCCATGCTTTTCTGTCTATACTCTCTACTGTCCTACTAATAAAGGTGATACCCTTTAAAAAATAATTATATATATATATATATATATATATATATATATATATATATATATATATATATATTTTTTTTTTTTTTTTTTTTCTGATGGCACTCTGTGGTACGGCAGAAATATTAACAGTGTCTTGAATGCGTACCCTGGTGTAAACCAGTGCGTTTTAGTTTTAAAACGGCGTTTTAGAATACAAACGATCGGCATCCACACTAGCATTTCACCCAGCGTTTCTTAACTTCTCTCCGTCTACACCAAAAAACTTTTCCGATGTCTCCGTTTTCCCCCATCCACACTGAGACAGAGCAGCAGCATTTTAGAATGAAAACGGCCTCTTTAGCGTTTCCAAAACGTTCCGTTTTCAGTACTCGAAAACTCCGGCGTAGTAGCAAAACGTATGCGTTTTCAAACTAAAACGCAGTAGTGTAAACGGGGCCTAAAATGCATAGCACTGTATTGCGTGGTGCATCCGGTGTGTCATGCCCTTTAAGATGGACTTGCTGTGGACAGTTAAAGCCCTTTTTGCATTCTTGTTGGAACTCACACTGCTAGCATTTGAAGATTTATGTTAAGTTGGCAAGCTGACGAAATTTTGAACTTTACAGGAGACACGGAGGAGATTGATTTACAATGGTCTACAGCCAATCGGGATGCAGAAAAAACAAATAAGCATGTCAAATTGTACTAAAAAAAATCCACGAAACTGCAAGGCTGTGAAAGGTGAGCCTCGTTATAGCGAGGGACCACTGTATTTGTTTTTTCTACTGTTGTAGTCAATGGTTAGAGGTTTTCAGCTTTTTTACACTAGTTTCTTTGGTGTTTAACAGAAGAAACAAACTCAAAGGTTTATTACCACTTCAGGATTAGTATTTAAATGTTAAATGTTGTTATGTTAAAGAAAAGTTCAGGCAAAATTAAAAATTTGCTATGAATTTACTCTGTGCATACAAAATGTATATATATTTTTTTTCTGTAAGACTGTGGTCTTTGGAGATTAATAAAATGCAAGCCAACAGCTACTAAGTAAAAAAAAAAACATATACAGGCAAATCAGAAATAATGTCACTGGATCCTGGCTATACATTCAGTCTTTACAAAGTGAAATGAATAATCATTAACAATCATCAACAACATTTTTACCTTTAATCAAGCTCTTAAGGCCATGGTTTAAAGGAATGCAATTTCAGTCCTGGAGATTTGCAGTGTTGCGAAATTTGGCTTTCACTGTAATCAAATACACCTGAATAAGCTACTCAAGGTTTAAACGCTACTAGAAAGCTGGAGATGGCTGAGGATGAAAACTTTTCAGGACTGCAGCTCTCCACACACAAACATTTGAATGGAAGCGTACAAGTAAAAATATATGTCAAATAATAATAAGAAACCTGAAAACAGTGTTTTGCCAAAACAGTAGCAGCATTGATTCTAACCCAGGCTCATCCTGAAAACGTAGCCATATATATGTTTCCGGAGATCGCAAATTATGTAGCCAAAAGTACGTATGGCTGCATTCTGTCTTTAAAACAAACACTATGGTATGATGCCATTCCTTTTCGCGCTAACCAGCTGACCGCTTACCTCCCTGTGGACGGCTTCCCGCTGTTTGTTTAGTTAGCTCGCCATGTACGTCTGCAGACTTGAGACGCAGAGAGGAGTTGACCACAACAATGGGTTTCAAGTCAGGCAAAAAATGGTTGCAGAAAGTAGGTACGACAAAAACTGAAGCCAAAAAATAAAATAAACAAGTAAATAACAGGGTGAGAATGTGGTAAAAATGTTGTAAAAATCAGACAAGGACTTTGCTTTTTCTGGATTGCTTTTTAAAACTGTCAGTTGTGTTTAGGGATGTGGGTGGGTCAATCAGTGCTTTTAAAAACACTATTGGTTGAGCTTAGGGAAGGAGGGGGGTGGGTCAGTCGATTGGTCAGTCAGTCAGTCAACAGGTATATTACGCGAGAGGAGCAGAGATCTCAAAAAGCATACACGGTGGCCTCTGGTGAATTCGTTAAAACATTAACTGCAAAAAACGTTGCTTCTGGTATTTTGCATTCTCCAGAAATGTATATAAGGGTACATTTATTAAAATGAGCCTGGGTTAATTATTTGTCTTTATATTATCAGCTATTTCTCATTTGCCACTGACTTTAGCTTTTTGGGTCAAATCTGAGCAGTTAAGATGAGAAATACTTGTGAGATTATTTTGGCAGAGCAGCACAGCTCCACTTTGCCGTCTGCACATGCCAGCTTGATGTTGGATTAAAGTTTTAGCTACTATCCCTTCTGTTTCATCGACTAGGTTAAGCTCATCTTCAGGCCTGTATTTAATTCTCTCTCTTTTTTTTTCTCTTGTATTTTGTGTATGCCATGATCCACTCTACACACAGCTAGTACAGCAGTTTTGCCAGCTGCAGATATCCAGGATGAAGCTGAGCCAGTCTTCAGTAGCACCGACATGGCCCTCGGTGCTCAAAATTTTCCCACAACCACAGCTTACCCCGAGGCTATTGATAAAGATGGAGGACTCTTAATTGCTGCAACTCAGGACCTCCCTAAATCAAAACTCAAGCTGACTTTATCAAGAGACCTTCAGCTTTCTAACCATCAGGGTGTGGAGTCTATGTCAGAGAGCAAGGCCCAAGGTTTGGGGTACCGACCCATCCGCAGGGGAGCACCAAGGCCTAGTTCTCACAAGCACTTTGACATTAATGAGCACTTGCCTTGGATGATAGTCCTGCTGCTTCTGCTGGTACTGGTCGTGATCGTGGTGTGCAGCGTCAAGCGCAGCTCACGGGTGTTAAAGAAGGGTCCCAGACAGGATCCCAGCAGCATCATGGAAAAAGCCATTCACAAGAAGCCCAGCTCTCCAGCACAGACCAAGGAGAGGTGGATCTACTACTCAAATGGTCAAGGTGAGTTTAAAAGCAAAGTGCAAAGCTTATCACAAGTGTGAAAAAACAACATGAAAGCACACAGTAACAGGGCTCCTGAACTGGCATAGCAATGGTAAAATTGACTTCATATTTTACAATTCATGAATGGTTGCTCACCAAGCTTTAAGAAACCTTGCATTTGCTTATCAAAAAAGGACCATGCCATTGACCAACCTAAAGCTGCTATATGATATATGGGTCTAAACCATGCATACATGTTGCTTATTACACACACAGGGATGTGCAGCAGAGCAGCACATAAATATTTTTAAATAGGGAAAAAACAAAGGATAAAAATGTAAAAGATTATTACCATATACATAAATACAAAACTGCTTCCTCATCCCACATCTTTTTTACCTCAAGGGGCTCTGGTGGAATTCGTCTCATTCTGTACATGGTCAGCTTGCTCTTAATCCTCCTGCAATATAAAGTTTGCAGTGTAATTAGCAAATCCTCCATGGTGTCTGCATCTTGCTCTTAAAGAAAATAGGAGATGAGACTCTGGATTAATGAACATTATGCCCAAAACACATCCATAACTCATTAAGAGAAAAAGGACAACAATTTTAGACCATGCGCCGGGTGCGCAGACTGTTTTAACCAATCCTCAAAAAATCAAAAGTGGATTTGGACATGCCCTAAGCGAACCTACACCATATGCTTTAGACCAGTGCTCAATCCTGTTCCTGGAGATCTACCTTCCTGCAGATTTCAGGTTCTACCCATATCAAACACACCTGCCTGTAATTATCAAGTGGTGTTCAGGTCCTAATTAATTGGTTCAGGTGTGTTTGATATGGGTAGCAACTGAAATCTGCAGAAAGGTAGATCTCCAGGAACAGGATTGAGCACCCCTGCTTTAGACCATTAGGGTGGTGGGCCGAAGCTAAATAAATCAACTTGTATTAAATTAAAGTTGCCATGGTACCTTCCTAATTTAATATTGATGTATAATAAAAATGTATAGATAAAAATACTTTAATCGAATTAATAATTTTATTCAACTTTTACATTTTATGATGTACATCTTACAATAAAACCAAAAACAATCTCCTTTATAACACAATGGAGTTTTTTTAAATTTACATAAATAATACATTTTCACCTGATAGTGTCCTAATAGTGTTTTTAGCAATGTTCCACACATACATACCTGTCAATAACTTTAATAAAAAAAGTGTTTTAGGGTTTCATGACCCTTTAAAAAATTTTTATTTATTCACAACATTTTATCGAAACATTTAATTTAAGTTTTGCTTTTTTTTAGCTGAGCCAAACAAACAAACAAACAAACAAACAACCAAAAACAAGCAAAACAAACAAATGGCTATGTCAAATTAGAAAGGATGATCTCTGTTTGAGGGTGCTTTCACGTCTAGACTTTTGTTTCGGAACCTGTTTCGTTTGCCCAGTTAGTGTGGTTCGTTTGGCATATGTGAATCCAGCAATCGCGTTTGGATCCGCGCCAAAACAATCGCTCCGAGATCGCCTGAATGAGGTGGTCTTGGCTCGACTGAAACAAACTCTTGAGTAAATCGATTGTAGTGAAAAAGCGATACGATCCGAGCCCAGCTGTATCAAAGTGTATTATGGATATGTTATAGGCAAATGGTTATATAAAGAGAGAATGATGCGTAGGGTGAGATGTCATTCTTACCGGTAATTGTGAGTTTTGGGTAAAATACGAAAGTGAAAGCATGTTGAGCTATTAACGAGAGCTGTTTATTCGTTAGGAAAATTGACCGAACTGCAGTAGTTTATCTGATATTTCTCTCTATAATGTACACTACTGTGTATGAGAAAGTCTTACCTCTGCTCTATATTTAGCGACAACGTCTGAGGGTGTCACCATTCAAAATTAAAGCTCATATTATCGCTTATAATGTCTTATTGCTCATCATCGTAAATTAAAATAAGGATGCATGACAGCTGAGCGGGACTCTGCAAAATAAACCCAGAAACTCTGACCAATGTAAAGGGAGTTTACTCACACATGACTTATTTTAGCTATTTTGGTCCGTTTAGAAACTTTGCCGTGTGAGAGTGAATGTTTGAATCCCTGTTTTGAAACAAATGAATCGATTCACAGGTGTGAAAGCACCCTAACAGATTTGCCTTAACCTTCCCCATCATCTCTGATTGGCATCTCTGACATAAATAATACAGCCCATGATGTGATAGCTCTAATCTCATTTGATGTGATGAATTTTGTTTTTATTAAAATGTATTCGAAAAATTGGTTGTTGTGTACAATAGCATTGAACTACTAAACTGCTAAAAGAAAAAAAAAAACATTTTACACTAAAAGTATTTAACCAAATAGGTGATATTTGGTAAATAGGTGTATTTTTGCTCTATAATAAAATACTTTCTTCCATTCCAGCAAATCTGTAAGTTAAACATTCATAGATTTTATTTCCCCGGAAAAAAATAAACATTGGTGATTTCAAAACATTGCTCTGTTTGTTTGAGAATGCATACCAGCCCAGCATAGCAACAATGAATCAACCAATTGTTTGAGTTTAAAACTGACCAGTGGCTGTCAGGGGCGTGTCCTCATACAGGGAAACTTATGCAGACTTTACATCCTTGAACTTGAACTGGATTAAAGAATGGCATTTATTGAGTTAAAAACAAGTGACAATGAGTAAATAGTCTGATAGGTGCAATATACTCAGACCCAACATTTTATAATGTGAAAATGGCATAATGATATTCCAGTGCACTAGATCATCTGTGGATGAGTCATCACATCAGTGCTCTTAATCCTGTTGATTTGCTCCAGAACCACAGTAATATATTGAGAACATCAGCAGTTGTCTGAACAAGTCCATTATCAAGATCACTTCTCATTTTCTGTCAGTTGCATTATCAAACAGAAACTGATCTCCTTCTGTTTCTCATTCTGCTCATTGAATATCAAATGCTTTACTTCCCTGGGGTTTCTTTTTCTCTTTTATTATTTATTTCGCACTCTCTGACCATTGACCAATAACCTTGGCGTTACTATGCATCAGAGGCTACTACAGTCAGTTAGTTAGAACTGTGGTGATGGACACCAGCTTATATCGGGCTCGGATATCTGTCTTTGTGTCAATGACTGCGCCTCAACGGTGAGCAGCTGGAACCAGATTATACCAGTTCTTTGTGGTTTGAGAGCTAGAGGAGTTTATCAGTGGACATCCACATAGCAAATGAAAGGAAGGACTGCCATTGTATATTCAGCAGGGATCTCATGCTTGAGCAAACCCTTAACCATAAGTATTGGGTGAGTAACTCCTGTGTAACTTATCCCATGTCTGGTATCTTAGATTTTATGGTTTGTTTAGGTGTGTTGTTTCTAAGCATTCAGACTTAAAATATAAGGCAAAACACAATAAAATAAGTACAAATGTCTTAGACTCACAGCAACTGGGAATGTCATAGAGATGTTAAGCTGAGCTATTTTGAGATTTTAGCTGAATTCTGCATGCAGAAAAGCTGTCAATACTGCAGTATAGTGGTATAATAACTTGCAAATATTAAGTGAAGTTGTGTTGATCATTGCACCACTAAATGATTCCACTGCGACATCTTATACCCTCATGTGAACATACTAATCATATCTTGTGGCTTTCTGTGGTCATTAAAAATCCCATAGCACTTCTCGTAAAAAATTAGGGGTGTAACCCCAGTGTCCTGGCCAAATTCCTTCCATCGGCCCTTAACCAACATGGCCTCCCATCTACCGAATTGGCTCTATCACAGTCTCTCAACTCCACCCTTATCTGGTGTATGGTGAGCGCACTGGCACCGCTATCCTGTGGCTGCAATCGCATCATCTAAGTGGATGCTGCAAACTGGTGGTGGTGTGAAGGGACCCCTGTCATGATTGTAAAGTGCTTTGGATGTATGGCCATACACAATAAATGCGCTATATAAATGCACACATTATATTACATTTTCACTAATAAAGATTTGCTAAGAACTAAGCTAAAATTATTTTATTGTCTCACAAAAGTAGCTCTTTTTTCTATTATTATTATTAACAATAATAATAATAATGTGCTAATTTTTACATGTACAAGTTATACATGTATGATTAGTCAATCAATTACAGAAGATTGGAATGTTTTTGTTTTTTTCTCTCTGATATATTGTTAGGGCAAAGCTAGTGGCAATATTTCATTGCTCCGTATTATTACTGTCGTTTTTATAAATGGGGAAATTCATTAATTTAAAAGTTTGCTTTCTAACTGGTTCAATTAGACTTAAAGCATGTTTTTTTAGAGATAATACTCTACAGAAATGGAAATTTTAGATAACTTGGTGTCTTGGCTATTTTTGTGATTTGGTTGCACACTGTTTTGGTTATGAAAGGGCAGGTTTACGCAGGCGTGCGGTGGCAGCCGAGACAGCGCCTCAGTTATGAGTCCATCCTGCATGATTCCGCCTATCCTGAGCTCTCTCTTACTGCATGTTAATAACGAATACTATTTGAATTTTATTTTTTATTCTATGATGCGCTTGGTTAGCCTACCTTTGACTTGACTTTACTCGCGGTAGAGCTGAAATAAGGATCTGTCCTGGGAAATAAGGGACTTTCCTGGAAAAAAAAACAGGACATCTGATCACCCATACTGAGGACTAAACAGGAATATTCAAAACTCTGATTGAGCTACAGCCACTATGAGCCACTCTAGTTTAGCAGCGTTACTGTTTTTGAACAGTAATGAGGAAAACTTTGCGTTATCAAAATGCGAAAACATAATGCAAATAGGCATTTCCTGCATCATAAAGCAAATTAATTCATCAGCCATTCAAGGGCCCCCTCCTCTCGTGGGTCCTGGAGCTTCAGCTAAGCCTAGCCCTTATGTTAATCTAGCCTTGGTCACATTGACAATCTAGATAATCTACAATCTACTAAAATTATTTTTACTATATTGTAGTATTTTGAACTCTAAACAATTGCTATGACATTACTAGACATTACTGTT